ACTATATTGAGAATGTCTACCCTTCATATTAGTCCCACTGTTAGGAGCTAAAACAAAGGCCCCAACCAGTGGCATACATAGTCACTTAAGTCTCCTTGGTTTGCAAATTTAGTAACCATTCTTCCTGAATCCAACCATTCTTCCTGAATAGATCCATACACCATTCTGCTTGGCTCCTGACAGTCAATGTCAGTCAGAACTTTAGTTGAGGGTGAAGGAAGCTGTAGAGAGCAGCAGGATCATTTCACAAGTCCACGGTGAGTCCCCCCTGGTCTGTTCAACTGTGACTGTCACTGTATGTCCTAAATTCAATCTCCCCCATCTAATAAAAATGCTGAGATCAGATAGTGAGGTAACTGCTGGTGGCAGGGTCCTTGAGGAAAATCTTGGTGGCACTATAGCACACCCAAGCACCCTCTTGGTACCGCAACTGCATCCAAGGCATTTTCAAAGTTGAAAATGAACATCCTCTGAGATATCTTCATCACATATCTTAGAACACCTTAGGAAGGACTCATTCAGTCTTTAATGGAATTAAGATAGTACTTCCCAGAACTCCAGAGTAAAGTTTTTTATATTGGCTTTCAGTATACTTGAGATCACTTAATCAATGAGGGTATCTCTGGCGTCTGATCTATGGTGGTCTGGCTCAATCTACAAGGTCATCTTGGTGCCGAAGTCCAGAAATTATGTTACAACCACTGCAATTGCTCTACTGCCTTCAGCACTTGTGATGACAATATATTGTATTAATAATATTAGTAATATTGAATCTGTGTATACTGTATGTCTATGCTTTTCACTGCGTTATTACTATATTGCAGTTATTTTCCATCAATCCTCCCCTTTGTTTGATGCAATTTCCTTCTTTCTCATTGAAAGTTCCTGCTATACTTCTTGTAAAGTACACATTGAGATATGGGAAAAAAATATTCCGTTTGACCACTTTAAATACTAACATCTTCTGCATCACGTTGTTTGCCTTTTGCAATAAAAATATTTGTGGATGTAAAGTATTTGGTGAGTTCACCTAAATAATGGGGTGGGGTATATAATTTGGGGTAACCACAGAGGTCTCAGAATGGGACAACTAACGATTAGGGCAGCGCTTTGGCTTAGTACTTCTGCTGTGCAGCACTAGGGTCCCTGGTTCATATCCTGATCAGGACTGGGATTTAAATATGTTATCAGAGAAAGAATATCCTGAATTTTGGGTTGTCCCTAGAACAGTAATAGAGGTAAAATCTTCCAACAGGGATCCAAGATATGGTGACAACCAGGAATTTCCGGACTTAATAGGGATGTCCTCTCACTTCCTGTTTTGGTTTTGGGACCAGAAGTGAAGTGAAATCTCCCCAATGCGACACAAATGGCCAGAAAAACTGACAGTGGTTACAACCCTCCCTTACTCTATCCAAAATGAAAAAAAAAATGTTTTGGCTTTAGTTCTACTTTAAATCCACATACGTAGAATTCTGATGTATCTTTTAGTATCACTATGTAATCATAATTATTTGACTAGACGATATTGACTAGAGTAACAAAAGTAACAAAAGAAAGGAATGGAACAAAATCAATTTTGGATTCATTTGTTATGTTATAATTCAGAGATTCTGATGCTTTCACCTCCATGCACCCAAACACAATAAGTAGGAGTCATCATCTTATTTCACTTTTATACCTTACTGTATTTATTGCAATATGTTTCCATTTCATATGACGATCCTGAGACGTCACGCCACCGGATCAATAACTATCCAGCTGGTCAGTTTTTCTAAATGGTTTATGAATGGTTTTGCTGCATGCTTTGTCTACATTTCATTGGCGATAGCCTCCATTTGCTTTTATGTATGTTCATCACTTTTAACCATTAATAAAAGAATTTATATTTTGACCTACTACACTATAGTCACTATTCTCTGCTCCACATCGAGCATTTAACCCCCCAGGACCATATGGTGACCACCCTGAGGCCCAGAGGAAAGTGACTCATATAAGCTGACCCCCATCGCAGCTTCCACCAGTAGAGAAGATCTCTCGAGGCGCCAGTATTGTGGGACAGCCTGTCCAGTGTGAACTGCACCTTCCACAGGATAAGAGGGGACCTTTGGCTATTAATATTGCGCTTATCTAATCCACATCTGGTGAGTGCGCATTTCTTATATTTCCTACACGGTTTTGACGAGTACCTCACTGGGAGTAACAAAGTCACCATTTCATCCATTTGTCATTTACCGGACATTGTTCATATGGACTTCATACTGTCTATTTGAGGGTGTGGCCAGTCTCTGATATAGCACATTTAATTTGTTTATTAGCGCTGCACTTTTTCATATTGTATATATTCAAGAGGTTATATGGTTTCCTTGTAGTGTACCAGCAGCTTATGTTCTCATCATCTTAGCGCTCGCTGAATCACCTTTATATTCAGTTGTAAAATTATTATTATTATTTATTAGAAAAATGGAAATATAACTGTTATATATATATTATTTTTTTTGCTCAAGAAAACAATATTTTATCACTGTATCAATTGTCTAGTTTTCCTATTGTCATCAGCAGATGGCTCCCCGAGGCAGTTTATGGCAGACTGGAGGAGTCATCTGCATTATATGGAGCAATAACCTACACAGTAATCTTTGTGAACTGACTTTTACAGTCAAAATAAGTGTTGTTCTGCAAATTCTGCTAACCTGTGCAGTATTGTCATTATCAATAAAAAAGCAAAGATAAATAGCGAACAATTTAAAATTTTGAGTCTGCTCTATTTATATTTGTATATTTTTTATGGTCTATGAGTTGGATCCTATATCAGCATGTAAGTCCACACATTGGAAGTCCACACAAACAAAAAGCGCAATTTGCCAGTAGAAGCTGAGATGTGACCAATTACATGACCAGTACTTTAACTTGTATCCTCTTGGTTACGATCGTTTTGTTCCTTAGTGTTGACTGGGATTGTTCAGGTAGGGTAAGCTGTCAGTAGGAACAAGAATGGGTTGCATTGATTGCCCTGGTCAGATGTGCAATATGGTAAATATATCAGTACAATAATCAGTTAGGAGGGGTTTGATGGAGGAATTGTTTGGAGTGAATCTGGCACCAATTTGCACAAATCACTGCATACATCAGTTTCTGATGGTGTAGGTGTAAGTCCAGGCCTCTTTTTTTAGACACAACTCTTTTGGATCAGCTCTTTTGCATTTTTTTAACATTGATTAGAGCACATGCACAAGAACAGTCATACGAAGGCAATCTATGGAGGCAGCAATATGGAGTTTGAGGGCAAAGGTGGTCTGGAGAATAGGAAGCTGTAAATCTGACCATGGTTTTAATAGTTAAATGCTAGTGCTGAAATAGTTGTTGGTTTGAGTTGTTCTTTGCTGAGAGTTCATGGCCTGGAACTGAGCAAAGCTAAGGGGAAGGCCAGCATGACTGGGGCTTGCAGACGAGACAGAGATTTGAAGAGGGTGGGTGTATATTCATTAGGTAGGGGTGGTTACTCACCTGATTGGAGTATTTGAGTAAGAGGGTGGTCTTTCCAGGATGAGGAGAGGGGTTGGGACTTGTCAGGTGTCAAGTGGTTTGATTTGCATTTTGTGTCTTGGGGTCCTTGTCTTGCATTTTGTTTTGTCATGGCAGCTTGCAGGGATCGCTGGGTCTTTGAAGGCGGTGCTGGAATGACAATTTTGTGGATAATGGGTTGGGCCTAGGTATGGGTGTTCCTTCCCAATTATAAGGTTACGTTGGTAAGGTTGTAGTTAATGGACTGTATCTGGGACTACGTAGCTGTAGTATAGTATTGTCCCCGAGGCGGTGTGTAGTAGTGGCTGGGGGCCTTTTCATTGGGTGTCAGATACAGCCGAGTTATTTATGTGATTAACAGTGCCTTCCAAGACCTTGGACCCGGGTTGGGATCATTACTGTCAGTTAATATTTTGATTGTATTGTATGAAGTGTTATGTAATAGTTATGTTAAATAAATCGGCTGCTATGGCCGTTTTTGACACCAAAAAGAGAGTCGTGTGGTTATTTCAGGTGGGAGAAGGTTGCGGGGGTGGTTTTTTATTGGTTAGGTGGTATTAGCCTCGATATTCTGCATATCCTTCAGTCATGACACTGCAAACACTGTTGTTGTTGATCCTGAACAACTGTGTTTGTGGCAATCCAGGCCTAAGCAAAACAACTAGGTATTCCACAGAATGAGGTGGTACTGAGTTGGCTTGGTGTACAATGTATGATGTGAACACCAGCCAAGTTTCGACACTGTTGATGGGTGGACACCTTCCCTGATATTTTAGTCCTGTGTGTGATGAGTAGGGACATCGCAGTGGCATAGCAAGAGAGCTGGTTCTGGACATTAATTGACCTACAGCGACTTTGAAGGGAATTTCCAGCTGTGGGTACATTATGGTCAGACCTGGTGGCCAGGAAACATTTATGTTAGGATTTCTAGGTGGACTGGGTGAACAAGGCCTGGATAAAGGTTAATAGGTAGATGGTACGGTCTGTAACCTGATACGGGCAGATAATGGCAAGAAACTTGGTGCTTGCAGACCAGGGTATTCCTTTCTAGAAGGATGAGGAAAACTACCTTAATAAGGTGGACTCAGTTTTCAGGGATTTTAAAGGGGGTCTTTGAATTTTTCAAAAACAGCAAAACCAGGTAGATTAAATAAAGGGAAAAATATAAATGGTATGTGGTGGTGGTTGTTTCTGATCTTCTGATCTCTGGGTCTTAGTTGTTGCCTGAATCAGGATCGCTAGTCTGACATTAGCTTTACAGCTGCAGTATTTGAAGACAAAAAAAATATTCCTATGCATAAATATACGAACATTGTATCTGCTCAATTTGTAGCTGGATATTCTTTATAAAAACAATTATGTGAACATTAGTCTGGACTTTGAATAATCCATTTATTTATTTATTCATTTATTTGAATTTTTTACAAAGAATCTAGACTTCAAGCCTACATGGCATGTCTGGTTGGGTTCCTTTTCTAAACAACCACCATGATATCTTCTAAAGGCTTCCGCTTTAAATCTGGTACAGTGGCATCCTTGTTTGGGTAGCCAACAGGTAGAAGCATGAGGAGTTTTTCATTTACAGGGCGTTCAAGTAGTACCCTGAGTCGAGGACCACAGTTTAAAGGAGTAGTAGTTACAGTCACTAAACCTGCATACTGAAACAAAGAAGATAACAATAATTATGAAAGAAATTATAATCTATGCAATTAGAATTAGAGGTGTTTACCCGTACAGTGTGGAGCACTGCTGAAGAAAATGCAATTGGAAATGTAATAACCATTTTATGAACAAAGATTTCCAAGCCTAGAATAACTTATTCTGGTCAAACATCTAAAGTAGCTTTACACTACCAACACATGTACAGGGAATGCCTCTAATTAGGAACATACAAGGATTTCGTAAAGCCTAATCTGTGAGATTGTAGTAAAAGAATAACTAAAAATAAGAAAATAAATAGCTAGATAACTATATAAAGATATAGATACAGATGTTCTGTAATTGTGTAATAATATATGACACAGGAATGCAGTAGACTGATTGTGATATACTGTATTTCCAACCTCTTTTCCAGCAGAAACATTCATTTTGAACTTTTAATGACTGATTCAGTCAGATCATACCTGTGAATAAATTCCTAATGCTGTAATACATAGACAATCCCCTCTATTAGTTCTTATAGTTGTTCCAGATGTGTCCAATAACTTTACACTTTCCAACTGCTCATTACTCTAAGAAAAGAAAATGCCACCGGCACTCCAGAAATTATAACTGTGGAACGTAACCAACTATAATCTAAATTCTAATGGGGCATTACACCTTACCTTGCAGTTCATGTTCTGCAAATGTTCTTGGACTAGGGCAGACACATAAAGACACGCCATCACTCAAGCTGGGGTCACAGTACACCAGGACTAAGGGGTGCTTACAGAGGCGTAAATAGAACCTGCAGAGCCCTGGTTCAAGAAACCATGAAGCCCCCCTCTCAAAAAAACAGTGATGGGAGTGCTGGTGGTGGGAGGATGGGATCAGTTGCAGTGGTGGTGGTGGTGAGGGGGGTGGGAGGCAGGATCAGTGGCAGTGGTGGTGAGGGGATGGGATCAAACCACTGAGGGTGTTGGGGGGATGGGACCAGTGGCAGCAGTGGTGGTTGTGGGGGAGGAATGGGATCAGTGGCAGTGGTGGTGGTGGGAGGATGGGATCAGTAGCAGCAGTGCTGGTGGTGGGGTGGTGGTGATGGCATTAGTCCACTGATGGTGGTGAGGGGGGGGAATGGGATCAGTGGCAGCACTGATGGTGGTGGGGGTATGGGATTAGTGGCAGAGGTGATTGGGGAGAGGGGATAGGGATGAGATAAGTGGCATTGGTGATATTGGGGGGGAAGGGATCAGTCAGAGGCAGTGGTGGGGGGGGGGGGGATGGGATCAGTCAGATGCAGCAGGGGGGAATCAATCAGATGCAGTGCTTTGGGACCTGGGAGGGATGGGATCAGTCAGAGGTGGTGGTGGGGGGGGCCCGGGGGGGATCAGTCAGAGGCTGTGATGGGGGCCCTGGGGGGGATGGGATCAGTGAGAGGTGGTAGTGGGAACCTGGGGGGGAATGGGATCAGTCAGAGGCAGTGGGGGCCCCTGGGGGGATGGGATCAGTCAGAGATGGTGGTGTTGGGAACCCTGGGGGGGATAAGATCAGCTAGAGGCAGTTTGTGGGGCCCTGGGGGTGGAATCATTCAGAGGCAGTGGTGGGGGCCCTGGGGGGGATGGGAGCAGTCAGAGGCAGTGGTGGGGGCCCTGGGGGGATGGGATCAGTCAGAGATGGTGTTGGGAACCCTGGGGGGGATAAGATCAGCTAGAGGCAGTTTGTGGGCCCTGGGGGTGGGGGTGGAATCATTCAGAGGCGATGGTGGGGGCCCTGGGGGGTATGGGATCAGTCAGAGGCAGCGGGGTTGATGAGATCAGTGGCACTGGCACTCACATGTTCTCAGTGTATCTGTCTGTCTCTGGACTCTGGCTCCCTTCACGTGCCTTCAGTGATGCCTCTCTCTCTCAGGTCTCCAAGCACAGTGGAAAGCTCCTCCCCTTCCTGCCTACTGGCCATCAGCTGGTTTGCTCACTCGCCCCAATATCATCCACCTTTATTTATTTATTATAGGTACTTATATAGCACTGTCAATTAACACAGTACTTTACATATATATTTTTGTACATTCACACCTGTCCCTAACCCTCAAGGAGTGTACAGTCTAAGGTCCCCTAACTCACATACATACATACATACATACAGTCAGGTCCATAAATATTGGGACATGGACACAATTCTAACATTTTTGGCTCTATACATCACCACAATGGATTTGAAATGAAACGAACAAGATGTGTGTCAGTTTAACTGCAGACTGTCAGCTTTAATTTGAGGGTATTTACATCCAAATCAGGTGAACGGTATGTAGGAATTACAACAGTTTGCATATGTGCCTCCCACTTGTTAAGGGACCCTACAAAGTAATGGGACAATAGGCTTCTCAGCTGTTCTATGGCCAGGTGTGTGTTATTCCCTCATTATCCCAATTACAATGAGCAGATAAAAGGTCCAGAGTTCATTTCAAGCGTGCTATTTGTACATCACCACAATTTGGAATCTGTGTGCTGTCAACTCTCAAGATGAGATCCAAAGAGCTGTCACTATCAGTGAAGCAAGCCATAATTAGGCTGAAAAAACAAAACAAACCCATCAGAGAGATAGCAAAAACATTAGGCGTGGCCAACACAACTGTTTGGAACATTCTTAAAAAGAATGAACGCGCCGGTGAGCTCAGCAACACCAAAAGACCCGGAAGACCACGGAAAACAACTGTGGTGGATGACCGAAGAATTCTCTCCCTGGTGAAGAAAACACCCTTCACAACAGTTGGCCAGATCAAGAACACTCTCCAGGAGGTAGGTGTATGTGTCAAAGTCAACAATCAAGAGAAGACTTCACCAGAGTGAATACAGAGGGTTCACCACAAGATGGAAACCATTGGTGAGCCTCAAAAACAAGAAGGCCAGATTAGAGTTTGCCAAACGACATCTAAAAAAGCTTTCACAGTTCTGGAACAACATCCTATGGACAGATGAGACCAAGATCAACTTGTACCAGAGTGATGGGAAGAGAAGAGTATGGAGAGAAGGAAAGGAACTGCTCATGATCCTAAGTATACCACCTCATCAGTGAAGCATGGTGGTGGTAGTGTCATGGCGTGGGCATGTACGGCTGCCAATGGAACTGGTTCTCTTGTATTTATTGATGATGTGACTGCTGACAAAAGCAGCAGGATGAATTGTGAAGTGTTTCGGGCAATATTATCTGCTCATATTCAGCCAAATGCTTCAGAACTCATTGGACGCCGCTTCACAGTGCAGATGGACAATGACCCAAAGCATACTGCAAAAGCAACCAAAGAGTTTTTTAAGGGAAAGAAGTGGAATGTTATGCAATGGCCAAGTCAATCACCTGACCTGAATCCGATTGAGCATGCATTTCACTTGCTGAAGACAAAACTGAAGGGAAAATGCCCCAAGAACAAGCAGGAACTGAAGACAGTTGCAGTAGAGCCTGGCAGAGCATCACCAGGGATGCAACCCAGCATCTGGTGATGTCTACGTGTTCCAGACTTCAGGCTGTAATTGACTGCAAAGGATTTGCAACCAAGTATTAAAAAGTGAAAGTTTGATTTATGATTATTATTCTGTCCCATTACTTTTGGTGAATTAACAAGTGGGAGGCACATATGCAAACTGTTGTAATTCCTACACCGTTCACCTGATTTGGATGTAAATACCCTCAAATTAAAGCTGGCAGTCTGCAGTTAAAGCACATCTTGTTCGTTTCATTTCAAATCCATTGTGGTGGTGTATAGAGCCAAAAATGTTAGAATTGTGTCGATGTCCCAATATTTATGGACCTGACTGTATATTAGGGACACTTTACCTATCAGCATGTCTTTGGAGTGTGGAAGGCAAACAGAATACCTGGAGGAAACCCTCACATACACAGCATGCAAACTCCATTCAGGCAGTGCTGTGGTTGGGATTCAGACCAATGATCCTAGTGCTTCTAGGCAAGAGTGCTAACCACTTAGCCACTGTGCTACCTTTATGCAGGATACTTTCTGCAGGAGAGCCTAGTTTCATGCAAATGGATTCCACATCTTTGAGCTATACCCCTGTCTGTCAATGGCTCCCTACCCCCCACTGTGTCCTCACTAAAAATAAAAGACAAAAAATCTGCACAAATGGTTAAAAGAGTCAGCTAGCTAAAGGATTGATTTATAATAATATTCAAATAGCAGAATCAATGTACATTTCTAATAAAAGTGCAAAATACTAACTGCGCAGTACATTTCAAACTTATGTCCAAAAAGTTCAACCAGAAAAGAATTACACAACAGATATTAACAAAGTGCTCAATCTTTAAAAGTGCAACAAATGTCCTTCAAACTGCAATTTTTCACCACAGTGTTCTGAGCCCAAAATATTTTCAGCTCAATCCGCAAGGCAAATCTTCTGATATATTTCACAACACCACCAAATGAGGGCAATGCAATCACCAGACTGCTAACTTTGCAGCTCCAAAACAGGTCAACAGGTGTATCTCATAGTTCTCCTACACTCCTCCTCTGTGAATAGAACCAGGTCCAGGATGATTTTTCCCTTTCAGCTGCCAAGAGGACACTTCCACACCTAAGAATGCTGTTGTCAGGGAGCGAGGAGCCAGACACACAAGGAGGTGCAATTAAAGGTAGGTTTATTATACCAAAACAAGACAGAGTCTATGCAAGTCCAACAGCAACAGCGGGTGACTTGGTAGAACAGTAGCCAGGAAGGATGGTCGCCAGAGCCAGGGTCAGAAGCCAGGAAATATGATCGCCAGAGCTGGGGTCAGAAGCCAGGAAGGATGGTCACCAGAGCCGGGGTCAGAAGCCAGGAAGGATGGTCACCAGAGCAGGGGTCAGAAGCCAGGAAGGAGCTGGGGTCACCAGAGCTGGGGTCAGAAGCCAGGAAGGATGGTCAGGGGTCAGAAGCCAGGAAGGCCACCAAGCCGGGGTCAGAAGCCAGGAAGGAGTCTTGCCAAAGCCGAGTCGGTATCCAGGAGCGCAATGAGAAACTGAACAGGAGCTTGCTGCTGTGCAACAGACAGGACACGAATGCAATGGACAGCTACAAACAGCAGACTTATATGTGATAAGCCGCCACCTCCTGGGGGGGGGGCCGCAGAGGGCTGAAAGCATAAAGGATCCCGCAATGCTTTGCAGACACCTAAGATGGATGCCAGCACATGGAGCAGCACAAGCCCTGAGGAAAGGTAGGACCTTGACAGTTGTGCTGTCTTTCTCAACCAAACGAACATTCCAAAAAAACAGCAAACAGCATAAGAACAGAATGAATAAAACTCACATGCAGAGCCGCTGCCTAAGTCCTAGGTCAGTTCATAGGCTCCACCAAAAGCGTTTCGTCCAAAAGGATGTAGTCAGGGGCTAATGCACTGGGCAGACTTCATGTTTAAAACAATACACACTCTCCTCCCTGGGCAGAATAAAAAATTAATAAATGTGCTGCCATATTCCTTTAGTGTCAGCTGGCTAATGAAAACCGTCCCGCCTGTCTGCTATCATGCTCTGTGCACATCTTTAATGCACATATTACCCACTAAAAGAGTTCTTCGACATTTTAATTTCCTAATTATGAAATGAGCACACTTTTGCTAACTTTTTAATATGTTTGGGATTACCAGATAATCATTTTCATCTTCTTGACATGCTTATTTGTAGAGGGCCATAGCTATTTCATATGTTCACCACAACCTGTAATACTACAATGTTAAAGTGATTGTAAAGTCTTATTTTTTTAAATAACAAACATGTTGTACTTAACTACTCTGTGCATAGGAATTCAATAAAGCAGCCTGAATCTGGGGTCCCTTGCAGGCGGTTCTGATTCCTCTTCTCGATGGGCTCTCTTAGGAAGCCACCTCCTATGGGGGCCACCTTTGGACTTGATCCCAAGCTGCCCTGCCTGTGGCCATAGACACAGGCAGCACAGCTTGGCCCTGCCCCCAGCTTCGTGGCCTCCCATAGGAAGCCACTTCCTATGGGTCCCACCTGCGGACTTGATTCCGAGCCACCCTACCTGTGGCAGGACGGCTTAGCCCCACTCCCAGCTCCCTTGTCACAGCCAATGGCTCCCACTGCTTCAGCAAAGCATGTGAAAAAAGAGACGCTAGAGACGGGTACATCGCTGGATTTAGTGAGGATTCAGATAGTGTGTGTGGGGGGGGGGGGGGTGGAGGCAATACTGGTAGTGGTACACCTTAATCCAGAGAATGGTAAAAAAAAAAAAAAACCTTAAAAAAGGTAAAAAATGTCCACTTTACCTTAAATTTCATTGTGTAATATACTGTACCTGAATGGCTGCCAGAAGTATTCCACAAGCAATTGACACGCTAATCTCATTGTAATAATGAGTCTTCTTTCTGTCACTAGAAAGTATTCCATATATTTGTTTAAAGATCAAGATTAAATAAGGAGCTGTGTCTAGATATTCTTTTATCCAGTTTGTTCTAAAATAGAAAAAAAATGAATACAGCAAAATATATATATACATTAGGTTGTATGTATAATCCATTAGAGTAAACCTGTTATAAGGACAAAATATTCCAAACCCACACTGTGCTAGATATCTTCTGATAATTATATTTGCCTTTAGCTGCATTCCTTCATCACTCTGGGCCTCAATGCTGGACCTTTTTGGTATGGAAGAAAAGCTCAACTGACAATGCAACACCTGGTGTTGAACCACTTGTCTACTGGGCACTTCTATCCCCTTCCTGCCCAGGCAAATTTTCAGCTTTCAGCGCTGTCGCACTTTGAATGACAATTGCGCGGTCATACAACATTGCACCCATATGACATTTTTATCATTTTTTTCACACAAATAGAGGTTTCTTTTGGTGGTATTTAATCACCACTGGGTCTTTTATTTTTTGTGCTATAGGCAAAAAAATAGCAAAAAATGTGAAAAAAAAGTTTTCCTTTGTTTCTATTATTAAATTTTGCAAACAAGTCATTTTTCTCCTTCACTGATGTGCGTTGATGAGGCTGCATTGATAGGCAGCACTGATAGGGAGCACTGATGGGCACTGTTGAGGTGGCATGGATAGGCAGCACTGATGGGCACTGATAGAAGGCATTGATAGGCAGCACTGATGAGCTGGCACTGATGATGTTGCACTGATAGGCAGCACTGATGGGCAGAACTGATGGGCGGCACTGATGGGCGGCACACTGGGCAGCACTGATGGCACTGCTGGGTGGCACTGCTGGGCAGCACTGATGAGTGGAATTGCAGGGCACAGGTGGGTTTCACTGATGGGTACAGGTGGGCAGCACTGATGGGTACAGGTGGGCGGCACTGATGGGCACAGGTGGATGGCACAGGTGGGCAGCACTGCTGGGCACTGATCATCAAGGCACTGATCATCAGTGCCGATCCCTTCGCTGACAATTGCCGGTTCTTGGCAGTACTTTCTTCACGCTGTGGCAGCGTGAGGAAAGTGCAGCCGATAACCGGCAACTGTATTTACCCGGTGATCTGCTGTGTCAGGTGATCATGTGGTAAAAGGTCGCCATGATTGGCCATTTATCATATGACGTGATCAGCTGTGTCCGTAGGACACAGCGATCACTGGCGGCGCCGGGTGTGTGCCGCTGGGGGCGCGTTCTGAAATGACGTCCATGGACGTCGTCCCAGAACCATACAACCGCGCTGTAGCCGTCCTTTGGCTATAGCGCGGTTGGGAACTGGTTAAGCAGACAATCATTAAGTCTAGGTTCACACCTATGTGTTTTCCGTTGCGTTTTGCATTTTGCAGAAACACACAGCAGTCCATTTAACATTATTTCCTATGGGACATGTTCACATCTCCGTGCTTTCACCGTGCATTTTTTTGGAACGGATCAGGGACTTTTTTAAATGCAAAACATTGTGTTTTTGGTTCTTTAGACTTCAATGGAGACGCTGCAGAAAAGCATGTAGTGCGTTTGTGATGTGTTTTGATGCATTTTAATCTGCCCGGCAACAAGTTGGAAAAAGAATGCAAAACGCATGTGCAAAAATGCTAAACGTACCGGAAAAAACACTGAAGAAATGGCTCAAATACAAACTGCACAGGTGAGAACTTAACCTCTGTGTTGTCAAATAGTGGTTTATTTACTAAAGACAAATGAGCAGTTCACTTTGCAAGGGAAGTTGCACTTTACAGGGAGTTTTGCCCCAGAGCTTACTGATTATGGGGGAAATTTCACTTTGCAAAGAATACTCCACATGCAAAAAAAAAAAAAACAAAACAGTATTTTTTCTTGCATATGATTGGATAATGGAAGTGAACAGCCTTTTTGCCTTTAGTAAATCAACCCCATAGAATCCACCGGTGTGTCCTAGAGTGTGTGTTAGTTCTCATAGTTGTGGGTATTATCAACTGACGGCATTGCAGAGGAAGCAGCAGGGATGGGATTGACAGGAAAGAGGAGCAAAAGGGTAAGTATAAGCACCAGAGTATAACTTGCACAAAGTTGCAAGAGGTTTACTTTAAGTGCATATTCAATGTTAAAGTGGAAGAGGAGCCCAACACTACTCTGCTCTAGGTAACACAAAAATCAGATGCCCCCCCCCCCCCCGCGGAGAGAGCCTGACACCAACCATCACCCCCTCCCTCCCACCCAAGAAAGTCTTCCACTGCCACCACCCTGCATGCATCAGCCACCCACCCCCCCAGCGAGATAGAGAGAGACACTCACCTTCACAGCTCCAGACATCCCCTGGAATCAGGCTCTGCATAACCGTCAAGCAGCCCACAGCCTCTCTCGGATCCCACCTGGTTCCCATGCTACGTGTGTCCGTTCTTCTGTCCCTTCTTCCAGAGAGTGGTGCTGCCCCCCTGAAAAAAGCTGCCTTAGGCAAATGCCTTGTTTGCCTTGTGGTAAATACACCCCTGCACTTACCTCTTTTTAAACCACTCTGGGACATTCATGTTATCCTGCAGCTCTGGCTCCCCTGTATGGGCTACTGCAGGGGAGAAGGGGGAGTGCCAACAAAGGTTGGGCTATTGTTCACAGCTGTTGTCGAGCACCCCTTTATACAGAGGAGATGGACCTACAGGATTACATGACCACCCCAGATTTAAAAAAGGTAAGTACACACATAATATTCACACAGGGTACTGTTTTATTTTATTTTTCAAGAATAGCTAGTGAGTTCGGCTTTTCTTCCACTTTAACTATAATGTTAAATACACAGACAAATTAGCAAATAAATAAATCTTAAGTAATTTAAAGGCTTAGGTTCACTGTTAATGATAGGTGAGGGAGGAATTTATATTGTTGTACATTTTGATTAATTTAAATATAGAAAAAGTAATGGGAACATTTAGTTGTTGGCAGAACATAATTATAGCAAGGATAACCCAACATATAATATGATGGTAACAAAACCTGGTGTTCAGTTTACAATTTAACCTATTGTGGCCCCACATGCACAAAAAAAACATAACCACAGGTTATGTGTAGTACGCCTTCTCCTTCTGCCCTGCTACCACTCCCCCTCCATCCTCTCACTTGTCAGCAATTCCACGCTGTCAAAATGACAGCTGAGAGTTGCTGTGTAAATACAGCAACTAGCAGAACTACTGCTGTAAAAAAAAACTTCTGACAATGTTTACAAACACTAATAAGCCACTTATTAGCCCTTATTTTACCTTAATCAGCCCTAATTTTTTCTCGCCCCTTTTCTCCCATAGCTGTTATTTTCCTGGTGATTTTATTTTTTCATTTCTATTTTTAACTATTACTATTTAACTATTATTATTTACATTTTTTATTTATTTATTTGTTTTGTTAGTTCATTTTTGTCTCACTAAAAAAGTGCAAAGTTAAAAAAAAATAATCACCATCATTTCATGTAAATAACTATTCAATGTATTGAGAGCTTTTATCTACTTTTTATCTAACACTTTTTTTTAAAACAGTGATCATAGTAGTAAAAAGTGTGTTGTTTTGTTATGTATTTTGTTTATAAATTGCATAAAAAGCAAAAAAAGCATTTTTTCAAGTCAATATCACTAAACAAAAGCCTTTACTTTGTTTTTAAGTTCTTAAGTTAGAACGCCAAAGTAACTAAAATGATCTTCATCTACATGTATACATAGTGTATGTCTGTATTTGTTATACCCGTGTTTCCCTGAATATAAGACACTGTGTTATATTTTTGGCTCAAAAAAACACACTAGGTCTTGTTTTCGGGGGAGGTCTTATTTTTTAAATGTCCAGGTGTGGACAGGGGGTGTAGAGGTGAGCTGTAGGCAGTTGTGGATGAGGGTTACTATGGAGAGGGCCAGTTGATGACAGTTGTGAGCTGCAGTCAGGTGTTGCAGGGGTTACTTGACAGGTGAGTTTCAGACAGGGTGCAGATATAAGGTACAGACAGTGTGAAGGGGTGAGTTGCAGATGGGTAATGCAGAGCTGAGCTGTGGCCAGGGGGTGCAGAGCTGAGCTGTGGCCAGGGGGTGCAGAGCTGAGCTGTGGCTGGGGGGTGCAAAGGTGGGTTGCAACTCAACTCACCTCTGCACCCCCCCCAGCCGCAGCTCACCTATGTACCCTGTCTGCAACTCACCTAACTCAATTTACCTCTGCAACACCTGACTGCAGCTCACCTTTGCACGTCCCCCCTCCCCCTCCACTGCCCTCATATGGTTAGCTAGCTTTGCAAAACACAGCTGTCAGCAGACGGCCCCTCTCTATAGTAACTCCCATTTCAGGTCCTATCTTCCCACACAGTGCACCAAGCGCACTTACTCACCACTCCGCCTCTTCCCCACTGGCCGGTGATCACCCCTGGGGCATCGGCTTCCATGCATTAGACTGCAGGAGGAGATGCCCCATCCCTAAAACACACTGCACACTGCGCCCACAGATATCTGTTCCTTCCCTGTCCCACAGTGAGTACAAAGGTAGGGAGGTTCTGTGGGAGTGGATGGTGCTGTCACTTCAGCCGCGCTTCTGTGTTTATAAGAGACAGTAGATATGGGTGTGCGCAAGGCCAGTGCGGAATGGCTTTCCGGCTGAGAAAAAAAAGCCCTGATCACAACTAGGTCTTATTTTCCGGAGGTCTTATACTTTAGCAATTCCCAAAAATAGCACTAGGTCTTATTTTCGGGGTAGGTCTTATTTTAGGGGAAACAGGGTATATTAAGACAATCAATTCAAGATACTACTTGATGATGTATGTCTTAAAACCAAATGTTTCCATTGAACTGCTCTTATATGTTTTATTTAAATGTTTTATGTTAGCGTATATGTGCAGTACATGAAAGTGTTTTTATCCATTTTTTACTACAATGTTTACCTTAATTTTTTCAGATCATTAACCCATTTGTCTCCCATTCTTTTTCTGTAGTTTATCTCCTCCTCTTCTTCAATTATCTCACGGATCTTGTGTTTTACCTCTGGATCTTGGACAACCACAAATGTCCATGGTTCAGTGTGTGCCCCACTTGGAGACGTCCCTGGGGATTATATAGTACAAAGGAGGATGAGTCATTTCAGTTATTTTTTTAGAGGCCAGGATGACAATGTCAAAGTTCATTATTATCTACCAGCAGCTGAGTGCCATTACTACCCAAGAAAAAAAAACATGTTTTCCTGTAATTAGATGTTGCTGCTTTAAAGCAGGTTTGCGGCACGTTTTACAATAATTTAGGAACATTAATATTTTGTAATTGGATTCTAGATGCACAGTTTTTTTATACTTCCCAGATCATTTCACCTGCTCTTAGAAAACCTAAACACAGTAGTGGCAGTGTGAATGAAGCCTAAGATTTTTGCTTGGGAAAATGAAACAACCTGCTGCTCTGATGATGTTGTCAATGACTTCCCTTGAAACAGATTCATTGCTGATAAACCTCACAGATCTCCTTTGGTTAAGCATCTCATAAAATTCTTTTGACCTCTTCACCATATCTTGCTCATCATGACGCAGCGGGCTAAAGGGAATGTGTGAGATATCATCTTCATCCATGTCTTCATCTTTCCCTTTAAGAAAAAAAAAAAAAGAACTTTACACAGAACAGGGGAATAACTACAGTATAATGAAAGCTTCCTATAAATAGAGGGGCCCAAGGAACAGAGAACAATGCCTATTTGTTGGATTCATGTGTTGTATAGGTGTTTCAAAACCTGATTTGTAATAGAAAATTTAAGGACTCTTCTGCTTATAAACATTTGCTATCTAACATGAGAATGGAACTAAGAAGCACAAAGGCAAAGTTGCCCACTTTTATCCAATCAGTAGAATAAAATGTAGCAGGCAGCCTAAAATATTAACCTAGACCAGCCTCTGAGGTCCTGGAGTCACATATAGGGTGTTTCCTGTCTGCAATGGACGTCAAAGGCACATGCGCAGGTGTTTTGTGCACCCATACATGGGCCACCTTCATCTCCTGGGCCTTTGGCATAACTTAAACTCTGTCTGCTTTTAGCTCAATTTTAACATATTTACTATATATATATATATATATATATATATATATATATATATATAATTTTTGGCTAATGTGATGCTCATTTATCATGCACTCCTCTTGTTGATCTGGCATTCATTTGACATGACACCAAAACCCTCCAAGCATTGAAAGTATTATAATGAATATTCATTTTTTCTAATAAACAGTGTCAGTTACATTAAGCCTTGTTCAGTGCTTCCATGGGCTTTTGATTTATCGTTTTATTTTGATTAAGATCTTTTTTTTTTACATCACTGGCAGAGAAAAAAGCTGAGTGCACATTCAAGAGTGCATGTTCTTGAGGGACTAAACCTTATCTCAACACTATTTATCTGCCAGACTCTGTTGAGAGATTCAGAGAGCTGGACTCTCATGTTTGTTAGCTGTCCAGTCGCTGGTGAGCTTTTTATTGGTGGGATCTGTCTAGTTTTAACAAACATCCAGGGGCGGACTGACAACTCATGGGGCCCCCGGGCAATAGGGGATCATGGGGCCCCTGTGTCCTTGCCCAAACTCAAAAAAAGCCTATGAAAAAGGTTTCAGGGGCATCTCATGGGGTCCCCTACTGACCCCGGGCCCTCAGGCAGTGCCCGAGTTTCCAAATGGTCAGTCCGCCCCGGCAAACATCCTGAACAGACTTCTAGAATAATCACTCTTTGCCTACAGGCTTGCCAAATTCTGGGCTGGAGCCTCTAAAGACACCATCTGGTACCTGACTGAAGGACCTTATAAAAGTAATGAAATGACAGCTGGGAGAGTATAACAAACAAAAGGAGGAATGGTGTGGAATTATGATAATAACTACAAGGAAAAAAAATAGAATTTCTTTATCTTAAATTCGGATCTAAGTCCCACTGGAGGTTTAACCCACTGGGTATCCTGGTCTGCAGCCTATGTATCCACCACACCTCCCTTTGTAATAACTTGTGGTATCTATCTTCCCCTCTTACTAGTGTAAGTACCCTCTGAATACAACAAAAAGGAAACGGGGTAATGTCCCCCCCATGTACATCTCTAAAATGTCATGAGTCACTTGATATCTGCTTTGCTTGTAAGTTCACAGAGTCGCAATAGTGCTCTCCAATCCTAGTTCTAAGACAGCGTCCTGTGCATCCCACATACTGCAGAAAACATACTGAGCAGCAAAAGAGATACACCACATAAGTAGTACCAGAGTTGATAAAAATCCTTCATTTTAAAACTTTCACCCGTGACCACATTCTGTTCATGTAAGGTATCCCTCCTCAACATTTTCTTTTTACGCTAATATATAACTGACCATAATGAGCTGCATCACCTTTTTAAACATCTAAAATGTAACTCCAAAAAGCCAGGTCCAGTGTTTGGTTCAAAATGGTGAAATGTTAAATTATGTAAAGCAAATTTGAGGGTTAACTGTGTTGCAGGGTTGAGGGTTGCATTACGTACAGAGTGCAGGGTTGAGGGGTGCCCTGTGTACAGAGTGCAGGGTTGAGGGGTGCCCTGTGTACAGAGTGCTGGGTTGATTGCACTGTGTACAGCAGAGGGTTGAGAGGTGCACTGTGGCATGCAGGGTTGAGGAGTGCACTGTGTACAGAGTGCAGAGTTGAGGGGTGCACTGTATACAGTGTGCAGGGTTGAGGGGTGCCCTGTGTACAGAGTGCAGGGTTGAGGGGGTGCACTGTGTACAGCATGCAGGGTTGAGAGGTGCACTGTGTAAAGCGTGCAGGGTTGAGGGATGCACTGTGACAGAGTGCAGAGTTGAGGGGTGCACTGTGTACAGTGTGCAGGGTTGAGGGGTGCACTGTGTACAGAGTGCAGGGTTGAGGAGTGTGTGTACAGAGTGCAGAGTTGAGGGGTGCCCTGTGTACAGAGTGCAGGGTTGAGAGGTGCCCTGTGTACAGAGTGCAGGGTTGAGGGGTGCCCTGTGTACAGAGTGTTGGGTTGAGGGGTGCACTGTGTACAGCATGCAGGGTTGAGAGGTGCACTGTGTACAGCGTGCAGGGTTGAGGGATGCACTGTGTACAGAGTGCAGGGTTGAGGGGTGCCCTGTGTACAGAGTGCAGGGTTGAGGGGTGCCTGTGTACAGAGTGTTGTTGAGGGGTGCACTGTGTACAGCATGCAGGGTTGAGAGGTGCACTGTGTACAGCGTGCAGGGTTGAGGGATGCACTGTGTACAGAGTGCAGGGTTGAGGGGTGCACTGTGTACAGAGTGCAGGGTTGAGGGTGCACTGTGTACAGAGTGTAGGGTTGAGGGGTGTGCTGTGTACAGATTGCAGGGTTGAGGGGTGTGCTGTATACCCCCAAGTTCCCCCCAGAAAAAATTCACCCCCCCAGATTCTAGTATATAGCTCAACCCCCCTTCCCCCGTTCTATTAGAGAGCTCCCCCCGCCCCCCCCCCCGCTGCAAATCGTCTCTCAACAACCTGGAAAGCACCAGAGAGAGGGACTGCTGCAAAAGAACAGCTATGACATACAGAAGGAAAAAGAACAGTGAGGCTGATGGTGGGCTTCAGGCGGAGCTTCCGCCATGATCATGAGACTAACAGCGGCTGTATAGATTCCCCGCCCCTCCACTTCTGCTCTCATATAGAGATGTGCAAGGCAGGAAGGTTCTGAGCCACTGCCAGGAGAGGTGGTGTTAATATCCAACATTCACAATCTTCTACATCTTAGGGTCCCTCAATGTACAGAAAAGAAAAAAGGTATTTTGAGGCATTTACTATCAAAAACCATCCACAAATCAAAACAGTTGAAAGATATCAATTTGACTGACAGTAAATCTGTGATTTGCAGGGCAAAGTAACTAGTTCACTGGCTGACCACTTCACTGCTTTTACTTACATATTCTGTGCTGCCAACCCTTCGTTCCCCTGATGGAGTCAAGTGACATACCTTGGAAAACGAAGAGAGCAGACACAGAGATTCTTCACTTTTGCCAAGCAAGTGGAGCAATAGTGGGCAAAGGGAAGCTAAACATAAGTGGTGGCTGAAAGAAGAAGAGCAGCTACACAGAGATTCTTCACTTGTTGAAGCAGTGCTTCTATATTTACGAGTGACAGAACTAAGCAGTGGCAATTTCTGGCAGAAAAACAGCTCTGGTATCAAACATAACCCGGGTGTAGTGCGCTGTCAGGAAGAAGCCAATAGACTCACGAATGCAACCAGGGCTGCCAGCGGGTGCTCTCAACAACAGTTTCACTTTGGCAATTAGCCATCACCTGGGGCTGATTGCAGGTGGTGTATTTAAGGGATGGCATTCGGTCACTTGGTGTGTGTTTTTCCATGGGCCCCTGTACAGTAAGCATTCCTGTGTTCCTGTTTCTGCCTACTTGTTGCCGATTGCCTGATCCTGAGTGACAGCTTGTGACCCTGACCATTCTCTCCGCCTGCTCCTCCTGTACCTACCTAGTGACCCGGCCTGCCTGACTACGTTGTGCTCTATATTTACCTGTGTATCTATACCAGAAAAACAGCTCTGGTTAGTCTTAATAAATTGTCCCATCTGAAGTGCGGTGTCAGTACACACAGTGCATCCCTGTACCCCCCCATAGTGACGCTACTGTGCAGGGATTTCACTGTCAACACAAAATAATGTAATATTCAGCCTCCTGGCTCTCTTTAGCAGTGCTACTGCTCAGGTCCTTGTCTCCGGTCTTCCTAATCATCCAGCACAGCATCCATGTGTTTATGTACAAACACTGTACCTCTGTCAGCTCTCCTGGCAGCTCCTGCTGCTGCTCCAGCCCTCAGGATTTGGGCCTTCAGTCGGATCTATCACAGACTGCACCATGCAGACATGTACACTTCTGGCTACTCCCTTGCAACCACTCAGACTGCTTTGGAGGGTGAAGCCCCAATCTACCGTCAGGCCCCAGAATATAACAGATGTGAACACCTGTGCCATCAGTGTGTCAGTCACCTGCAAAATCTGGTTCCAGGCTTGAAGATTTCTCCCTCCCAAATCTCTAAGAAATCTTCGGGCTCTAGGTCCCAGGTTGGGTTTTACCAACCGCTGAGGAAATTGCAATCCCAGTTGCCTCCAAATAAAATAAACATCCTGGAGCCCCTCAACCTGCCTAATTGAGAACTCTGGGTGACCTAAAGCCCTTTTAACACCATGAAAGGGCACCTCACTGTCACACTTCATGTTCAGCCTGATGTTGACAAACTAGCTTAGGCTCACAAAACATATGAGGAAGGCCCTCCTCCCGCCACCACTGAAAAAAGTGAAAGGACTGGCTAGTGTGCTTCAGAAAAAGTTGTGTATCTGTATTGTTAGAAAAAAAATATTGTGAGGGGGTGGTGGGGGTGGGTACTGCTTTGGGTGCAGTGGTGGACACATTTAGTCCAGATAGTTGGAGTTCTGCTTTATTTATTTTTTCTTACATAGACAAATTGGCAGTACAGTACATAGGTCAGTGGAATCAGCCATAGCCCAGAGTTTATTTACATATTTTTGCTGACATTTTTGTAGATGTGATAATTTTTACATGCTCATCTGACCCTCTGGGTGCCCAAGACCTCCAAAGCGGATGTCAGGATTGAGAG